AAAAGAAAAGTAGTGGGGTGTCTAGCCAGGTTGGCTGCATGCATAAGCGTAAGAAGAGGAGAAGATGAATCTATTAAGGGGAAAGGATTAATTAAAATATCTACTAAACCTTTTATTCAGCAGCAGCAGCAGCAGCAGCAGCAGCAGGGACAACAGCAGCAGGAGGGACAGGAGGGTCAGCAGCAGCAGCAGCAGCAGCAGCAGGATGAGGGGAAACAAGAGGGGAAGGAGGGAAAAGAAGTAAGAGAAATAAGTCATGATAGTACTACTAGTACTATTAATAATAATAATAATAGTAATAACAGCACCAGCAGCAGCAGCAGCAGCAGCAGCAGCAGCAGCAGCAGCAGCACTGTATACGTAATGGGGATCGGATCCCAATTTACGAGAGAAGTTTCTCCAGGAGACACTTTGTTAACAGCAAGAGGTTCTTATCATGTAACTACTGTCTCCTCGGATACATTCCTTATAGCAGCAGTAGAGCAGCAGCAGCAGCAGCAGCAGCAGCAGCAGAAGCAAATAGCAGCAGGTTATTCATATAGACGAGCACAAACTCTACCTATTGATACCAATAATGTACCTGGTGCTGCAGCAGCAGCTGCTGCTGCTGCTGCAGCAGCTTCTGCTGCTGCTGCATCAGGGCCACTTACACCTGCACAGCATAGCTGGACATGGGGACAGCAAACTTACCAGGAGGAGATACGGCAGCAGCAGCAGCTGCAGCAGCAGCAGCTGCAACAGCAGCTGCAGCAGCAGCTGCAGCACTATCAGCAGCAGCACGACGAGAGGAGCAGAAGTATATCCTTCTCCTCTATTGATAGAGAGGGAACAGCAGCAGCAGCAGCAGCAGCAGCAGCAAATCGTCAGTTACGCCGCTGCTCTGGTGATGTTGTGTCTGCTGCATCCGAAGCAGCAGATGCAGCAGCAGCAGCAGATGCTGCTGCTGATACTGCAGCAAGAGTTGCTGCTGCACTAGCAGATGATGCAGCAGCAGCAGCTGTTGAAGCTTCTGCTGCAGCAGATGCAGCAGCTGCAGCAGAGTTTGCTGCTGCTGCTGCTCAAGCAGCAGTAAGTCACCGCAATCATGACCATGAACAGCAGCAGCAAGAGCAGCAAGAGCAGCAGCAGCAGCAAGAGCAGCAAGAGCAGCAGCAGCAAGGAGACCAGGATACAGGTCTAAGGAGACGCTTCGTTCGTCGTGCTTGTATGGAGAGAGGAGGCAGCGAAAGACCAGCAGCAGCAGCAGCAGGAGGAACAGCAGCAACAGCAGCAGGAGGAGGAACAACAGAGGAAGCAGCAGCAGCAGCAGCAGCAATAAGAGCAGCAAGAGTATCATCTAAACCCTATCATGAAGAAGCAGCAATAATGCATTCAGGTTCTGCTGCTGTTGCTGCTGCAGCAGCAGCAGCAGAAACAGCAGCAGAAGCAGCACATACAGCAGAAGTTGCTGCTGCTCTTGCTGCAGCAGAAGCAGAAGCAGAAGAAGGAGACGATTCATTCGGACCACCCATGGATTATAAAGTATTAAACCCTAAACCCTAAACCCTAAACCCTAATTACTAAACCCTAAACCCTAAACCCTAATTACTAGACCCTAAACCCTAAACCCTAAACCCTAATTACTAAACCCTAAACCCTAGCCTGTTTTTTTTTGTGCTACTGTTGCGCTTTTTCTGTTACAAATCCTGTTCTGTGCTGCTGTCCCTTCTGCTGCTGCTGTTGTTGTTGTTGTTGCTGCTGCTGCTGCTGCTGCTGCTGCAGATAGTGCCTCGTATAGATCAATCGCGTGTGTATGAGGCCGTAACAGCAAGTCTTGTAGAAGGAGACACTATTGGGCAATTTCCTGAGGTATACTAACTGTCTCCTTTTCCCTTGCTGCTGTTGCTGCTGTTGCTGCTGCTGCTGCTGCTGCTGCTGCTGCTGCTTCTGTTGTTGCAGCTGCTGCTTTCTCCCCCACCTACGACCACCATCACCACCATCACCTGTTACTGTTGCTACTACTACTGCTGCTACTGCTGCTACTGCTGCTGTTGCTGCTGCTGTTGCTGCTGTTGCTGCTGCTGCTGCTGCTGCTGCTGCTGCAGGGAGGTAGCCATGACCGTACTCAATTAATGCCATTAAAGGCAGGAGTAGCAATAATGTCATTAAAGGCAATGAAGGAAGGAGCAGAAGAAATATTAATTATACCTGTTGGTCTTACTTACCATAATCCCCATAAAATACAATCTAGGGCCTCCTTATATATTGGTAACCCTGTACAGGTTAGTAACTGTCTCCTTTTTGTCTCCTTATATGTCTCCTTTTTGTCTCCTTTTTATCTGTCTCCTTTTTGTCTCCTTTTTGTCTCCTTTTTATCTGTCTCCTTTTTGTCTCCTTTTTGTCTCCTTTTTATCTGTCTCCTTTTTGTCTTCTTTCTATCTGTCTCCTTTGTGTCTCCTTTTTTTCTGTCTCCTTTTTTCCTGTCTCCTTATGTGTCTTATTATTATTCACATAAAATACAATAAAGGGTTTCCTTATATATTGGTAACCCTGTACAGGTTAGTGTCTCCTTTTTATTTGTCTCCTTTTTGTCT